CAACCGATGGCAATGGGTACATCAAAGGCAGAGTAGCCAACTGAAAGAGCTCCCAATGGCCAAAACCAGAACAATTTGAGCAACAAAATAAAGGAGTATTGTATTATAATACCAAGTATAGGATAAATATCCATGAGTTCACACTGATATAAAAGTAAATGATTGAATAAATTTATAAATGGAGAAGGAACAAATCATCTATGCAGAATAATTTCAAATAAGTATAAATACGCTGCCCTGAGGGGGCGGGGCTAGCTCCCTGTGTATAGTCATCTCCTTCCAAAGAGTACTGTGTGGAGAGAGCGGAGAAGCCGACACACGTCTCGGCCAGTGCGTGCCCTGGATCCACTGTGATGAGAACGGCACTTCACCTCTGTGGTCTTCCTCCCCAAAACCATATCCTCAGTCTAATCACGAGAAAAACATGAAATAAGTCCCTACCGAGGGGCAGTCTATAAAATCCCTGAACGTACTCCATAAAAGTATTTACAGTAGGTCAGCAAAACAAAAGAATCTGAGAAACCGTCACAGCCAAGGGGAGCCTAAGGAGACACAGGACTAAATGCCTAGTGGTGCCCTGGATGAGATCCTGGCACCGAAAAGGACATTCGATAAAAACTAAGGAAATCTGAAAGAAGTATAGAATTCAGTTAATAATAATGTATCGATACTGGTTCGTAATTATAAATAATGTACCACTATGTTAAGATATTAATAATAGGGGAAACTGGGTGCAGAGGCTGTGGGAATTCTTTGTAGGATCCTTGCAATTTTTCTACTGTAAAACTGTTGTAAAAAATAAAGTTTATTTAAAAAACGTATTATAAAAGAGAACAGCTTCTCATAAAAAAAAAGGAGGCAAGAAAAACAACACCACTTTAAAGTGCTGAAAAATGATGGCAAAAAAGACATTTTCAGCCCAGCCGGTGTGGCTCAGTGGTTGACATCTACCTATGCACCAAGAGGTCACCAGTTCGACTCCTGGTTAGGGCACCTGCCTGGGCTGTGGGCTCAATCCCTGGTGAGGGGCATGCAGGAGGCAGCCAACTGATGTTCTCTCTCATCAATGTTTCTATCTCTCTCTAAAAAAAAACCAATAAAATATGTTTTTAAAAAAGGACATTTTCAGATAAATGATGAGAAAATTCATCACCAGCAAGAGGTGCACTGCACCCTAGCTGGTTTGGCTCAGTGAACAGAGCATGAGCCTGTGGGCTGCAGGGTCCTAGGTTTGATTCTGGTCAAGGGCACATGCCCAGGTTGCAGGCTCAACCCCCAGCAGGAGGCAGCTGATCAATGATTCTCACTCATCATTGATGTTTCTCTCTCTCTCTCTCTCCCTTCCTCTCTGAAATTAATTAAAAAAAAAAAAGATCTGCACTGCAAGAAGTGATCAAAAAAATGATCTGGGTAGAAAGGGAAATGACAAGATGGGACTGAGAACTCCAGAACTGTTAGTAAGTGGGAAATACAAAGCCTATCCCATTCTCCTACCCCATGAGGGGCCCCTTTTCATTCCTCCTCTAAAGCAGTGGTTCTCAACCTTGGCTGCGCCTCAACACTTTAATACAGTTCCTCATGTTGTGGTGACCCCCAACCATAAAATTATTTTTGTTGCTACTTCATAACTGTAATTTTACTACTGTTATGATTCGTAATGTAAATATCTGATATGCAGGATGGTCTTACCTTAGACTTAGAGTCTGACAGGGTCTCAGCAGGGGCAGAAAGCCTTCCTAGGGAGCGTCAGTCTGGGATCTATGGGGAGGGTTTTATACTGAACAAACATGGAGGGAGGCCACTGGTCTTCGGCATGGGCCTTGGGAGGCTAACCATTCTTAATGCAAACTTCCTGCAAAGAATATCTTGTCTCAAATACCTCTTTATCTGCGTCCCCTTCAAGAAAAACCTGAATTGGGGAGCACTCTAAGGCATCAATCAAGGGGCAAGGCAGCCCCACCAGACCTCTAACACCTCTAACACCAGACTCTAAGGTGATGCCAGGCCGCATCACCTTCCGCAGCATCTGTGCCGGTGGGACTAATGCTGAGTGTGTAGCATGAAGTCCAGGGTCATCCTCATGTGAACAGCTATCAAGTGAAAAATGTCTTCCAACCTGTACCCGATCGGGCTGATTTCTCAGTCAGTATTCTTAACTCAGACCCTTTATATCACCGTAGCTCCCTCCTCTTCTGCTGCAGGAGAGGAAGGGGTAGCACGAAAGATAAAAAGGTAAATCAAGCGATGAGTTCCAACAACTGCTCAGGACTGCATGGAGCCTGTAATCTCTAAGTCAGAAGGAAGGCTTGTAGAAAAACCATCTCAAGTATCTGACAGAGGTAGGGGTTCTCTACATCCACCTAACATTTAGAGACATAAAAGAAGAATTGGGAGCTTATGCAAAAGTTTTAAAACAAAATCATCAGCAGTTATTTTTTAAAAGCTGTTTTTATTTTTTAAAAGCAACTACCTAAGTGATTCAGTTTTAGATAACTTGGGGAATAATTATGAATTTTAAAAAAATATATGGATCACTTAGAAGATAAAGTAGAAATATCTGTAAATTAAAGCAAAAAGAATACATAAAATTTAAACTCTCACTTCCTGCCATAGCAGTACATTTATACTTCAGGTTCCACCTTTACCAAAGTAATTAAATCCACATTCAATTAGAACCTAAAAGCTTTAAAGAATAAAACAATAGTATGACTATTATGTTACTCATTTTCTTGATGGGTTTTTAGAATAAAGGTAACAGATTTATATTAAGTAGCCCAAATTATTGATATTAAAGGTGTTTTGCAAAGTGTTTGTGATTTATCTTGCTTTCAAAAAGTGTGATTTTTATATTCACTTAGTGAATATTCTACATTTTCTAGTCACTACTAGATAATACATTTAAGAGAATAAGATGGAAAAAAGGTGAAGCGGCACTCAACTAATTCTGTTCAACCAGCTGAAGGAACAATAAAAAGCATTTGACACCGCTGACTGAAGAAGATAGAAAAGCAACATCATTATTTGGCTACATGTTTATCTAAATTACCTCACTTTTCTTTAAACAATGAAAAGAATATCTATAAATTATTACAGAGACACAAATAAAACTAAGAGATTTTCAATTTGACAATAATTTGACAAATTTAAGACTGTTAAATAACAGTAAAATCTGTATACATTTTTTTTAAACCAGGAAAATAAATCCTTAACTTTCCCCAAATGTGCATTATTTTAAACTATCCAAGAGCCTATAACTTCCCCTTTATCCTACCACATATCCACTAACTCATTCTGCTTAACAAATAAAACCACGAACTGAGCGTCCTTCCTGTCAATGATGTCACAGCACTGCATTTGGAAATGTCCTTCAGGGACCAGATGAAGGGCACTGACGAGGACAAACATGAGCAACCTCTTGAAACATCGACAAGGCAAGAAAACAAAATGCTTACGCTTCACAGTGTGGAATCTGAACATCAGTTTATCACATGCACCTTAAACTCAAAGAAAACTGAACAGAACGACGTCTGTATGAAACCATTTCCGTGCAGGACACTTACTCTGTTCCAGGTATGCTGCTGACTACTGCACAGAATAGAAAGAAAGACACAAACTTTAAAGAAACCTGAATACTTTCCATACTGCTATCAAGGATACAAATAATGACGACATGAAAGGAAAAGGGAAATACTGTCAAAGAGGCACAGGAAAGGCCCCCCGGAGCCTGCTGGGGCCTTGGGTGGTAAACTCACGGGGCGTGACCCGGGCGTCTCTTCCCCAGCTCTTACCAGCTCACCTTAGAATGCACAGCACAAAGCTTTCTTTACTCAAATTAAGGGGCGACAGCTGACATGGGAGCAAGGGAGGGCTCCACGGGGATCTCTGGGCACGGGGCTCTGAGGCCAGGGTCCTTAGCCCTCACGCGGGCCGCACTGTCCTACAGGAGACGGCAAGAGCAGCTGGGACGCATCATGAGCCAGGAAAGCCAGTGCTTCTCAGCACATAAAGGTGTTCTGCTGTCCTCACAACAGAGCGCGGCCGACACAGAGTTAGATGTAGAGTCACCGCAGCTTCCCGCTCAGGGGGCGGCGTGGCCTCTGTCGCTGAGGAAGGTGGGAAATCTGGGACTAAAACCCGTGTTCCTGTCTTTCCCTCCTTGTTTCTCAAAGCGAGATCTGGGGACCAGAGTGGCACCAGCATCACCTGGAAACATGAAGGACACAGAAGCTCATGCTGCCCCCAGATCGACTGAACCAGAATCTGCATTTTAATGAGATTCCCAGGTGACTGATAGCATATTGAAGTTTGAAAAGTACTCTAGAGTATGTACCTAGAACTACAATGTCTGAATTCTTTAACATCAGATAATGCCAACTTTCCCTCCAAAGTACTGTACCAATTTACTTTCCCACATTATTCTAATTTTCTATGTATCTAATTATAATATAAATCCTTTTCCTATTGTTAAAATTGCTCTAAAAATAAAGTCTATTTAGCTCATATTATAGTGCCTGGCAATAAATTAAAACTATTGTTATTAGAACAGTTACATTAGAAATACCCTAAATGTTTCTGCAGGAAATTAATAATATTGTTCCAACTGTAATTATGCTATACCTAAGTCAGTTTCAAAATTGATTCTGACAAGATAAAAGCATCTTCTCAAAGAAGTAACCCTTGAGAACTTATGAGATACCTGGATGAATGATTCCAAATCTAATATGTTATTTTTCAAAGCTTCCAAGCGAAATGTAGAAATGTAAAATGACTAATGATTCCATCGCAGCCAGTTTCTTAGTAAGTACAAGTTTTATAGGTTCTTATGGCCATTATTTAAGAAAAAAAATTCAGCTAAGGGGAAAAGACAAATGGTAATATCAAAAATAAATATAATCACAGAAATATGATGAAAACGATATGGTTTCAGCAGAGGGAGGCCTACCTATGAGGCAGTGGTTTCTAGGAGGAAAGCAAATCTCCCGCCGCCTGTGCTTGCTTACCTGGGTGAGTCATGGTGACTGGCTCCTCTTTGGACTTATTATTGTAGATGACGACAGCAACTGCATTGTGGAAAGCAGCCCGCGATATTTTCTCCTTAAATGTGCAATTTCCCCTCTGCAGCAGGGCAATCCACTGTTTGATATTAGGAGGGACAAAGAACCGGGTTTGAGGATCACAGCCCAGATGATCAGCAACTAAAGGGAAAAGGAAAAAACACAATAATTTTTTTCTGAAGTAAAGATAAATTAAACCAATCAACTCTTTCTCTGAAGCACATCAAGCAGCTCACTGACAGCAGAGCTATGAATATATCCAGAAAGGACATTACCCGGAATCTAAATCCTCATCTGTACAGGGAGAAAGATGCCCCTGTAACCCAAATTAAAAGTGGAAAATCCTGTTTACCGAGTGACAAGAACAAAGAAGACAGTAATATCCAGTGTAGGGTGGTGAAGAGAGGAGGAAGAAGAGGCAAACAGAGAACCCCCTCCCCTCCCCCAGAAACCCAGGGGAATGAGCTACCCCTGATCTCACTCATGCATTTGCCTTTACTCATCTCTCCATGCCCCACCTCTCACCGCCTCCAGGAGGAGATGATTTTGCTTGGGGTAAGGAAGGCAAACTAATCTTTTGTTCAGCTATCAAGTGGTCGTCTTGAAATTCAAGCATGCTTTAAAAAAAAAAGAAAGAAAAAAAATTCGAGCGTGCTTGAACAGATTTCTTAGTAAGTATAAGGAAGTTAGAAAACTTCACTTCGGGCTTGCATCTGAAAGTTATAGTAGTAACATAACCATCAGAATAGATTATTCCTCTAACTTACATTTACTGTTAAAATTACTCTGCAATTAATTCCACATTAGGACACATATTAACTTACTACTCTTCCTGTCTAAGGGGTTACACCAAGACTATCCCTTGAGATACAAATTACATGGTGACTGTCCTAGATTTGGGGGAATAGCTTGTTTCAAGAAGCCTCAAATACATGTGAAGTGGTTAGGGCAAGCACCTCCATTTTTGATTCTGCAAATATGAGCATCATGGCTCTGATGCCCTTTGTAAATCTTGAGACCCTGTGCCTGGCTGTTCTTCCCATTCCTCATCCTGCATTTATAACAGGTTAAAATGAAAGTGGGGCAATGCAGGGGAGGAAGAAGCCACCAAGGTAAGCTTGGAGACTGCGGCTCCCAGGGCCAGAGGACAGCGGGCCCTCTGCCTCCTGAGTCAGTCCCTCCCAGCACTGTGCAGGCTGGGGGGAGTGGGCACAGCACAAAAGAGTAACACTGGAAGCAAATAAGTAATAAGAACATTAAATAAGTATTGATAAAAAATAAAGTGTGAAAAAGACACCAGCGGGGAAATGTTTGCTTTCCCTGAAAGCACACTGTTTACTAAAAGAAATGAAATGTTCACATTATTTAAAGAAACTAAAATGCAGAGATGCCACTAACTACAGAGAAATGTTCCATCTATCATTTCCACTTAAATATCTTTCCCCAAATTCTCTCATTATCATGGGGAGGGGCAACGATGAAAACGTATTTGCTACCAGAGGTCTCTTAATACACAATAAGTGGGTGATCAATGATTTCATAATTTGTCATGACGAATACTGTCTACAACTATGATTCACCCTTTCCCTTATACAGTTTAGTTCTTTCTTAATCAAATTAAACTTCAGTAGTCAACTACTGAAAGACACAGTCAAGGCATTGTGAAACTTTGAAACTGTGAAACACTTTACTTTCAGTGATATCTGTCCGTTTCACCGATTACTATGCTGTTTTAAAATATAAGCATTTAGGTGATGTGTTAGGATAACCTCAGTGTCTTGGGAAAATTTCCAATACTATTTCCAAATAGGCACAAAGAACTTGTTTTAAGTGCTCCATTTGTGATTTTTCAAAATACACTGCTGCACAAACCTTGAGGAAAATGCAGAATCAAGAATATCTAAAGAGTGTTGGCCAGTGTGGCTCAGTTGGTTGAGTGTTGTCCGTGCACCCAAAGGTCACCATTGGATTCCCAGTCAGGGCACATACCCAGGTTGTGGGTTCGATCCCTGGTCGGGGTGCATGTGGGAGGCAACTGATGGATGTTTCTTTCTTATATCAATGTTTCTCTCTCCCTCTCCCTTCTTCTCTCTCAAAAACAAACAAACAAACAAAAAACAACCCACAAAAAACCAGTAAAAACATTAAAAAAAAAGAATATAGAAAGAGATCTATATACTTGTCTTATGTGAAACATTCGTTTTCTGTGATGTTCCTGTCCTCCCCCTGATTTCCTATTGTTCACTGTGTGGTAAAGAGAAAACAACACAGTAAGGGACCAGCAAGACCTGGGGGTCCAAATTCTCCAATCTTCCACTTTTACTTATTTGTAAAATTGAGATAAAATTCTTACCTCACAAGAGTTATGTTTATGTGAAAAAGTCTTTAACAATTCCTCTACTCTTAGGTGCCTCCAACTCATTCCCTTCTGTTATGTTATGGGTGCCGCCCATCCTGTGCTGGTGATCCAGCCTGGTGACACGGGGACTCTGCTGACGTTCACGAAACCACCCAGAGCTGGGCAGCACATCCTGTGTCCCCTCTCCCAACAGCTCCCTAGCCTCACCCTTTCTCCCTGTTGCTCTGACAATGTCACTGTCCACTTAGAAGGACAGCCTTTCAGTAATGGTCACAACGTCTAAGACTAAAAGAGACAGCAAGGGGTGCCACCACAGAGCACAGTCTATCTCTTAAAGGAACCTCCATCCACTAAGAACAGATTCTAGGCACAATCCAAACAAATTCCAACAACAGGCTGGATGAGCAAAAAGAACGCCCCTGTTCCCCCAAACCACCGCGTGTGAAAGGTCTCAAGACGTGTGTCGGTGAGAACAGAATATGCGATGATAAACAAGAATAAGGTGTGCAAGTTCCTGTTCAAAGAAGCCGTCTTCATTGTTCAGAAAAAGGAAATACGGGGTTTTCATAAGCATTTAATACTACAGTATGCTTATTTTACCCATTTATTCCTTCCTATAATTAAAAAATAACTTGAACAATAAAAATGTTAACAGCTAAAAAACCCACATTTCACAAGAAGAATGATGACTATGGCTGGTGACCAAGTGGCAAAATTTAATACCAGTTATTTGTACTTGAAGCAATGTATTAAGTGAAGTCATAAAACAGCTATATAATTATGAACCATAAAATATGTCAATAGCAATTTTGCTCAAATTCAGAAATTTTTTTTTTTACCTTAAAGTTTAGAAGAGGACATTACCTCTGACTTCTTTGCATTTATTAGTCACAGTGTCAGGAAAAACTTACTTGAAGTTATCACAAAAATGTGAAATCATATATAATAAAAAAATATTGTACTACAATACCTTAAAAATTTGACAATTATACCCAATAAAGCTGAAAAATACTGTATTATAGAAAAACTTAACTTCAATTTTTTCCCCCTGTATGGCCTTTCCTATCAAATCCAGAAATAGTCTGCGACTTTTACTAGTATTTACTCCTTGACTAGAACCAAACAATTCTCAATAGGAACAATGATGGAATCCTCACCTTAATGCACAATAACTTAGACATTCAGCAACATACTAAGTACCGTAGAGAATTGGAATAGAACCAAACATTTGGGTCCTGAATCTTGAAGCAGCTCTGAATGTACTGAGGAGGCATGCCCGGCCCAGAATGAGATGTTCACAAGGTACATGAAGCACCAGCATGAAGAGTGCGTCAACATTCGGAGAGGAAAGGAGCAATGTAACGGCCACGGAACCTACATGGAATGCTGAAAAACTCCAGCCGAAAGGAGAGTGTGCAGAAGTGAACAGCACAAGAACACAAGAGAAAGATTAATTCCTTCTCTTAAACTCTAGAGAAAATCAAGTGAGAAGATTATACAGCCAAAGTTACGAGATTATACAAATTTAAGATAATCGAGTTCTAAAAAGAAGACCTCCACTGTAGAGAATAGGTTGAGATCGTTTCGGCGGCCCCAAGACTAATCATTCGCTTTACCGGATAAAACTGCGTTTCGTGGGTGTTTTGCGAGAGCGCCAGCTATCCTGAGGGAAACAAAAAAAAAAAAGAAAAACTATCTTCCCCAACCCAGCGGCCTGAAAGGCTCCATCCACTAGGATCCATTTGACTTAATAAGACCTTATCTTTTAAAAAAGGAAACACCCACCTAAGAGTAGCAGTCACCAAGTTATGACCTGGGTGATGTCTCCTCCCCCGCCCCCGACCATCAGTCTGCTGCTGTAAGCGTCACATGGGGCTGGGACACATGGTGGAAGGTCACGGACTTCTCCAGGCGCACAGCGCAGGTGCCTCAGTGTGTCTCTCACTCTCAGAGCCCGTGTCTCATTTTCTCCACCTGAAATGCTAATACTCCTTTGCTGACCACCACCTAAGCTTCAGGATTCTGCTAACATCTTCTCCGACCTCCTAAAGCTGAGCTGGGTGCTGTGTCCATGCCTCCCAGGCACCCCGAGATCACAGCCATCTTAGCATTCACTGCACTGTATTAGTAACTGGTTGGTTATTCTGAGTGTCTCCTAAGTGTGAGATCTAGCATCTCCTTTAACATGTCTGGCATGTAGACACTTACTGTGACTGATGAAGGGAGAGAGGGAGGGACGACAGAGGGGGACTAGGCCAGAATGAATATAAAGAAAAACCTTGTGCCAAAGACCTCCCTGCTTCACGTGGAAATATTCTGACTTGGGCAATATTCTATCAGCTGTTTCCTACAAAAAAAGTAAAAATAAAAATAAGCCTAACTAGTCCTAGCTGGTTTGGCTCAGTGGCTAGAGCGTCGGCCTGCAGACTGAAGGTCCCGGGTTCGATTCTGTCAAGGGCACATGCCTGGATTGTGGGCTCGATCCCTAGTAGGAGGCAGCCAATCACTGATTCTCTCTCATCACTGACGATTCTCTCCTTCTCTCCCTCTCCCTTCCTCTCTGAAATCAATAAAAATATATTTTTAAAAATAATAAAATAAATAAACCTAACTAGTTACCCTGTGCGCCCCTACCGGTTCTCCAGAGAAACAGACCAATAAGGGGATGTGTGTGTGTGTGTGTGTGTGTGTGTGTAAAGATTGCTATTACAATGAACTGGCTCACATGATTATAGACTAGAGGCTGATACCTTCCAAGATCTGCAGGGTAATTCAGCAAGATGGAGAGCTTATCGCAAGCTTGAAATCCAAGAGCCAATGTTTCAGTTTGAGTCCCAAGGCAGGAAACAAGCTAATGTCCC